TTAAAATAGATATTTATCCAATTTCAAATTTTTTCCTATAGCTAGGCTTGGTAGTGCACATCTGTAATCCCAGCACTCTGGAAAGCTGAGCCAAGAGGATCACAACTTTGAGCCCAACCTGGACAATTTAGCGACTCAGCAAGACCCCGTGTCAAAATAAAAAGTAAAATGTCAGGTGTAGTGGCACATGTCTGTAATCCTAGTAGTTGGGAGGCTGAGGCCAGAGGATTGCCACAAGGTTAAGGCCAGCCTGGGCTACATAGTAAGTTCAAGGCCAGCCTGAACTACATAGTGAGACCCTGTCAAAAAAACAAAACAAACTAACTAACCAAAACAAACTAACAAACAACAAAAGAGAAGCTTACTATTATTTTTAGGAGCTAGGATAACAAGTGTTTATTTTGTTTGACTGTGGATTTTACCAGATAAAGAATTTAATTCTAGAAATGAACTAAAGACACATATGACTTGGGATATAGCTCAGTGGTACAGTGTCTGCCTGGTAAGCTCACGGTCCTGAGTTCTATTCCCAGTACAAAAAAAAAGAAAATTAAGTTTATTTAAAAAAAATTATTCAATTGTATGTGTGCTACTGATGTTAAATTGTTTGGGACAAATGCTTGTTTCATTAAGATGAATTAATTACTTTAATCAATACAGAGACCTCCTTAAAGCATAGCCTAATTTCACAGAGTTTCTTTCTGGATTGAACCTCTTATGGATCATTGTATTAAATGTCCTTTTTTTTTGAGACAAGGTTTCACTATGCACCTCAGACTAGGCTGGACTTACTTTGTAGCCCGGGTGAGCCTGGAACTTGCAGTGATCCTCCTGCCTTAGCCTCCCAAGTGTTGAGATTACACCACACCTGGCTGTATTAAACTTTTTAAAATTAAAAAAATTCACTATAGCTTGTTTGCTTTTGTAAGGTTTGAATCAGATCTGACCCTCCCAACCCCCAACCTACTTGCCAGCAGAAGCACTATTCTCAGCAGGGAACACAGCTGTCATCAGCAAGCACACGATGGCATAAAGGAGTAAGATAGAACAAGGAATTTCGCAGGTCCTGGGACATCAGAGGACATCTGGGGACATCTGGAGACACCTGAAGGTTTACACTGGACACTTTAAGGACTTTGCCCACTGAGGGGCAAGACTGTCAGAAAACTCTAACCACTGATATTCATTAAAATCTTTCCACCTAATGTCCCCTGCCTTCTTTCCATCCCTATGAAAGGAGCACACTTCTCTTTGTTCCCTAAAGATGGCCTTATTGCTCTCCGTCTGCCTGCACCCAGGCACAATAAATTCCACATTATGCTGCCTTTACCCAAGCCTGGTGGTCTCTGCTGGTCTGTGCCCCTCATGCTGTGTATCATAGCCTGTCTTTCCTTCCTTCCTTCCTTCCATCTTTCTCTCTCTCTTTCTTTCCTTTCTTTCTCTCTCTCTCTCTTTCCTTTCTTTCTTTCTTTCTTTCTTTCTTTCTTTCTTTCTTTCTTTCTTTCTTTCTTTCTTTCTTTCT